GAGGTGTTTTGAAACCCTTGCTATAACCAAGTCACCCGAAAGCCTCGTTATATGGAGATGCCTACTTTGAACTCTCACCCTAGTGCAACTAAGGGAATCTCCGCAAGACTCTTCGGAGGAATTCGCCGTGAGAGCTCCGCGATCCGGATGCCCTTGACAATCCGTGACTAAGTGGTGCATATGACGGCGATCATTGAGACGTGCACTCTGGACTCTCGATGAAGAGGGCTGTATAGAGGACTAACAAGGAATGTGTCAGAAGTGTCCCATCGCTTTTCGATCCAAATCATGCTTATTGTGCTCGTCTGAGTGCGGAATGAAAAAGTATAGTGCGGTTCCACTGCTTAGGCTCCAGTTCAGTTTTTACAGAATACCGATAGTCCCGGTTTTTGGCCGAAAAACCGTCCTTTTTCCTAATATGTCGGTGTCTTAACGCTTCCTGAGCCCCAAAATCATGACTTTTGTTGCGTCGGAATGATCCGTTCGCGATCGCGCCCCGAATTTCTCCCGGCGAACAATAATTCATTCGTCCGACCCTTAGGGCCACTTGAACACCAGCATATCCCAGCCGCCCCGGCGTATTTTGGGTGCTCCCGTCAGATTTTTACGGGATACGTTGAGGAATGGTCAAATCGTTGGGAATCACTCGAGAATAAGTTCCTTGTCAAATAGAGAGCTCAATATTCGCAGAAAGAGACAGCTCGTCATCGGCGCCAGCAATGTCGACGTAACAGTCTCGACACTTGACGGATCGTGGGACCCCGTGGTACCTTATTGGTACGCAGAGGCGGATGAATATTTTTCGATTGATTGGTGAAATTCAAAGCGCTATCGCGTGGCGCGCATTTTGAAACAACGAAAGTCTTGATTTGACGACATCCGCCGCGGTCATGCATCGGCAACATGCAAAAATGACATATTTTCGGCCGAAAACCGTGATTTTGGATTTTCTGTAAAAATGGAACCAGGGCCTAAGCAGCTGAAAGGCGCTATACTTTTTCATTCCGCACGGAGACAAACACGATAAGCACGGTCTTGATCGAAAAGCGATGGGACACTTCTGACACATTCCTTGTAAGTGCGCGAGAGAGGAGGAATATACTCCTCATGCAGCGAGCGCTGTCTTGACTCCGACGAGGAGGGTTCCAGGATTCGTTCATGACCACCCTCGTACGTGAGACACTATTCAGACACCGTGACAAAACCCCATAATATCGCTTCTTCACCTCATTTTTCGCGCAAGTAGGATGGCCAGATCATGATTTGCGTCCACCGTCTAGCCTCAGTTACCACAGCGCGCGAGTCTGAACGAGTCTCCCGATGCTTACGAATACGTGGGGCGAGCTAGACACGCGAAT